TACTACTACTACTACTACTACTACTACTACTACTACTACTACTACTACTACTACTACTACTACTACTACTACTACTACTACTACTACTACTACTACTACTACTACTACTACTACTACTACTACTACTACTACTACTACTACTACTACTACTACTACTACTACTACTACTACTACTACTACTACTACTACTACTACTACTACTACTACTACTACTACTACTACTACTACTACTACTACTACTACTACTACTACTACTACTACTACTACTACTACTACTACTACTACTACTACTACTACTACTACTACTACTACTACTACTACTACTACTACGACTACGACTACGACTACGACTACGACTACTACCACTACGCGACAGCACCCGGTTGCGCCAACATTGTTTCTTATGCTGTGGGAGGGCGGAACGTGTCCGTTGTTCCTTTCAACATGGCCAGTCTTGTCGTCGACGATGCGAAATGCGTGGCGGGAATGGGACGCGGCGCACATCCAGCGCGGACGTCAATGCGGTGTCCTGGGGTATCCCCCACTCGCACTGACATGCCCGCGCAGCCCTCAGTTGTGCCACCACTGTTTCTTATGTTGTGGGAGGGCGGGTGGGAATGGGCATGCCATGCTTGACTCGCTCGAGCTGGCTAGCTTGACCCCACCCGCACCCCCGCCACCCCCACCCCCCACTCCCACCCCCCCACTCCCACAGGGGAGGGGTCCAGGTCGAAGCCCCCCCCAATGCGGCCACGCATCCGGTTGGAAGTTCATGCATGCTGGGGGGTTTCGCGCATACCAGGGGGGGTCGTGCTTACTGGGGGGTTTCGTGCCGGCTACCGGGGGGTTTCGTGCTTACCGGGGGGTTTCGTGCCGGCTCGCACCGGCGGTGCCGCCGGCTCGAAACCTCCCAGGATGGAGTTTACCCGGGGGGGGGTTCGCCCCGCACATATATATATTTATATATATATATATATATATATATATATATATATATTCCTCTTCCTATATTTTTGTAAGCCCGGGCGGGGGGACCCCTCCCCCAAAACTAGACTCCCGGGATCTGGGGCTTTGGGACCCTCCGGACGGGCCTCGTAGCGGCCCCCCAGGCCTCGCAGGGCGTTTTGCCAAGCCTTCCCAGCACACCTGGGGCGATCAGGGGGGTCATCGGAGACGTCCCAGAGACCCCCAAGACAGCACAAGAGCGCTCCAAGAGTGACCGACGTGACCTCAAGATGGCCCAAGAGGCCTCCAGGACGGCCCCAAAGGCCTCAAAAAGCCTCCAAGAGCACTCCCAAGAAGGCCCCAAGAGGCAAAAATCATTGATTTTCCGTAGGTTTTTGGTGAATTTTGGGGTTCTCCTCTTGTCGGTTTCCCGACGCTCCAATACGGCAGTCTTCTGGGCGTCCCAAGCCGCCTGGGAGGTTCCAAAATCGCCCCACAACCATCCGAAAGAGCTTCCAGGCAGTCCAAGAGAGCCCCAAGACGGCACAACAGGGGTCAAAAATGGCCCTAAGAGAGCCCCATGGCGGCCCAAGACGGCCCCAAGACACCCTCCGAAGCATTCCAAATCGTGACCCGGTCGTTCAGGGAGACCGCGGTTGGAGGCAGGGTGGCCCGAGGAAGCCCCCAGAACCTCCAGAACACGCCCAGGAGGCCTCCAGAAGGCCCTAAGAAAGTCTGAAACTTTTGCGAGGCCCCAAGAGGCTCTCCAAGGAGGAGCCTCCGCAAAAAGAGCTGAGGAGGATGGGGAACATGCGCAGGGTATGGCGAGAATGAGGAAAAAGAAACATGGAGGAAGGATAACGAATAACATAACTTTAGCGGTGATGCTGGAAAAAGCAACAAGGAGATATCGCTAAATTGCCGGCTTGACCTTCGTGCCATTCCGCCTGCATACCAAACTTCAATGAGCAAGGTGCATGGCGCGAAGCGCCACTGCAGTCTTATATATATATATATATATACATGTATTATGCGTGTGCCGCGCCGGCACGCTCAGGTCGGAAGTCTTCCGCCTCTGAGTGCCCCCTCCTCGTTCCTCCTCGGCGGCCGCCCTGTCCGTCTTTTTCCCCTCTCCTGCATGCCGGGCAACTCGCTTCTCGGTGTCACCGTTTAAGCTCTATCGCTGGTGCAGCCATTATGCCTCGCCACCGACGGAAACAATGTGTGTGTGTGTGTGTGTGGAATATTTCTCGTGCGCCGTCATCAACATAAGACGGCACTTCACTTCGACGTATCCCGTCCTACAGTCAGTGGAATACTGTTGCTCGGCAGAGTCCAACAGGTTTGTTCACGTATCAAAGGGAATTGGGGGACATGTCTTGGTTCCTATCCAATCCCGCTGTTCATCGCCGTTTCTCTCCTCCTGTTCTTCCTCGAGGCTCTATCTCCGTCGCGCGCGCACACGGACGTATGCGCACGCGCGCGCGCGCGCACCCGCCCGCCCACGCACGCGCTCGAGCACGCACCCGCGCACACCCACTCGTCTGCATCCAGACACCCACACTTCTTGGCGTGTCAGCCACGCGCGCGGCGGCGCGGCGTAGGGCAAGTCAGGCAGAGAGCGCGCGGAGTGGGCCAGCTCATGCAGCGTGGTAAAGCTGGATCCGTCAATCGGAGATCTGAATCGACACTCGTGAGGGGTGCGAGGGGAACGCGGGCAGGGGAAAAAGGAGGTAAGAGCGGGAAGCGGCAGAAGGACGAGGAAGGACCAGTATACCAATGACGGCCGAGGCCAGTTAGCGTAGCGCAGTGGGAGGGCTGCAACGGCACGCGATCATGACGAGGTAACACCGCAGCGTAAGGAAAACAGAGGCTGTCAGGCGGCCATTGGGGGGGAAACAACCAAAACAACAAAGACAGGGATGGCCGCAGCCGTGGAGGAGCAGGAAGCGGGAGATGAGACAGCAGTGGAGCCCAAGTGGCCCCCGCCACCCTCCCCAGGCGCAGGAGGGCGGCGCAGGCAGTGTGGCCAGAAAGGCCGAGAGCAAGAGAGGCAGGCGGCCACAGCAGGTCAGACAAGGGGGACGGGCAGAGGGCGGCGGCAGCAACCCCGAGCGGGGCGTCGAAGCGTGAGAGGGGGGACGGCGGCGGAACTCGGTCTCAAAGGGAGGGACCGGCGCGCCCCGGCCGAGCTCAGAGCGACGAGGGAGAGTGGCCAAGGTCGGGCGACCAGGGGGCGCGGTCAGGGGCAGGGGCGGTCCGGGTGAGGGCGAGAAGCGCTCTGCTTGCCAGGGGACGGAGCGCCAGGGAAGTCCCATAAGGGTCGACCTCAAATCCACACACACACACACACACACACCAACACACCACATTCACACATGCGCGGCGCTTCGACGCATGTGGCAAGGCGTGTAACCACCGGGCACCGTTTGACAGCGAGGCGCACACACAGTGGTAGCAACCCCGCCCCCCGCCGCCTCCTTTACCCCTCCACTCCTATCTGCACGAGTGCAAGCCTGAACGGGATGTCATTCCAGCACCAATACTTTACGCGAAAGTGAATCCAGCAGCTCATGTCGCAAACGAGGGTGCGCTCCAGCACGACATTTTTGCGAGGGGCCGTGCTCCAGCAGCCCACGGCGTGCGCTACAACACTCCATTTTTACGAGGGGCCACGTTCCAGCAGCCCACGGTGTGCGTTGCAGCACCCAACTTTACGAGGGACAACGTTCCAGCAGCCCACCCTGCGCGTTCCAGCATTGAATTTCTACAAAGCGTGAGCGATCCAGCTGCCCAGGGCGCGCTTTATCACTGCATTAGACACTGAACGCGGGCGTTCGAACCTGAGTCCCAACCGACGCAGACGAACCCACATAGTTAAACATCTCACTAGTTAAATATGCCATCGACTGTAACATCATCGCGACTGTGGTGTCACATCGTGGGCGAATTTGAACACAAATATGTGGAAGCCTGTATGCGTGCGCATGTGCATGTGGAACCCTGCGTATGTGACGCCCTATGTGTCAATTTCCGCGCGTGTGTGTATGTGGAAACCTATGCGCGGGAAACGCTAGACACGGGCACACTACCCACAGGCAAGGGCTGGAAGCCAGCACTCGAGTGCAATCATTGTTTTGGGATGAATTTCCAGAACAATCCAACTGACATGGTTCTGTACATGGCTACCGTCTAGAAGCCACATGCAAGCAGCAAGCTCCGTCTCAGGTGGAACCCCTCTCTGCGTGTTGCCAAAGCGCGGAAGAAGGAATGAACTTTGGAATAATATCGCAGCTGCAGGAAGCGCCTCCTCGTTCGGAACTGAATCCCACAGGCCGTCTGTGGCGATCAAGATGAAGCGATCCTGACGCGTGCGAGTCGCTGGCTGCCCTGTAGCTTCCCCGCTCTGCCCTTCCTCAATGTGTGGCCGAACCTTCCACGCCTGCTAAATTCATGAAGCATCTTGTTGAGACACCCCTGCGTAGTTCATCCTTCCAGAATGCTTGCCGCTGCGTGCCCGAAAATAAGAGCCCCCCAGAACAGTCCTCCGGTGTCAAGCGGTGGCATGTCACCTCGCGATAGATTCGTCAAAGCGGTCGTTGCAAACACATGGCGCAGATCAGTATGCTTACAGGTAACCCCAAAGCGTGCGATGTGAGCATTATCTGGTTTGGAGAGCAGAGTGTGTATTGCGACGGTAAACGAAAAAATGCAACCCCAGAATGAATCAATAAACGACAATTCGGGATGATTGTCGGGTCGAAGAGATGCGAGCGGCAAGCTGGTTCTCGATTGAGGTAGCGATGAACCATGCGCAACATGTCCAACCTGCATGGTGCAGTTGTGAAGTCTGCATGGGCGCATTTGTGCATGCGACTGCTTCGTTGAGGCAAGGCAGAACGATTACAGGTGAAAGATCGCACCACAGGGTCTGCGATGACGCCGCACTCCCGAGCCTTAGCGAGTTGGGCCAGTGCACTCCTGGCCTCTGTGTCCCTCTCTCCCGACACAGAACTCAATCCCTCTCCCGCTCTTCCCCCTCCCTCCCCCGCGTCCACCTCAGTACTCGCATGGCGCCGTAAGATGCAGGCTGCTCCCACAGCCTGGCTTCAGCCGAAGGCGAAATACGATTGTCTCTCATGCCTGTTCACCTTCTCATCCCACTCATTCCACCCGATATGCTACATCGTCACGCCCTCTGCGCAGTGGTCCCGCATATGCGACCCTGAAGCCTTTGGCAAAAGAGCCCTGGGTGACACTCTCGCCCATTCCTTCCGGAAGCAGCCAGACATCTTGAAAACCGTAGAATCCCCCAGACAAACCAACAGCGCGTAGAATTTCGAAGGTCCTCCGAAGTGCAATCTTCCTTCGCTTTGCGTCCCTCCTTCCTCCTTCCCGTCGTCTCGCCTCCTTTGGAACTGCATAGCATGAATACTACTCTCCTCTCTTCCCTGGCTCCGTGATCAAGATAACCGTCCCTCTCCCTGCGTACTTTTTCTTGCATACCGATTTTGACACGAGTGGTGGTTCCGATCTTTCCCCCCCTAAGTAGGGCTCGTGTTTTCCCTGTACAAGCCGTGCAGCCCTCACACCTCACCTCACCCACCCTGTCCCATCATGATCATCAACACCACCATCATCATCATCATCATCATCATCATCATCATCATCATCATCATCATCATCATCATCATCATCATCATCATCATCATCATCATCACCATCATCAGCATCGCCATCATCTCACACACTCACTCATGCACACTCACACCACCAACACCATCATCATCATAATCATCATCATCATCATCATCATCATCATCATCATCATCATCATCATCATCATCATCATCATCATCAGCATCATCATTCTTATTCTCATCATTCTCATCATCGTCATCAACATCCCTACCACCGCCATCATCACCATCATCAGCATCATCACCATCACGCAAGCAATCGCGCACTCATTAGCACTCTCACTCGCACTCACGCGCTCACACATCTATTTTGAAGTAGGTCTCGAGCGGGAGCCTCGCCCGTGACTGAATTGTGAAGACGTCTCAGGCGGACCCCCCCCTCGCTATGGGGCCGTCAGATCATGTTAGCAGTCTGGGTGGGCCAGCCAGATCTTGTAGTTGTTGCCACTTTCGGATTCCTGCGGCGTGGATCTGGGGGACGTCCCGAGCGGGAACCTCGTCAACGAGTGAAAGGTGAGGATGTCTCAAGCGGGAACCCCTTCCCTAGGTGGCCACCAGATCATGTTAGCAATCCGAATGGGTTATCCAAATCCTGTAACCGTCGTCACTTTTTGCCTCCTGAAACGTAGAACTGGAGAAAGCCTCGAACGGAAACCTCCCTCTGCATTGTATGTTTCAGGCAGGACCCCTCCCTCCATGTGGGGCCAGCAGATCATGTGAGTAATCCGAACGGGTCGTCCACATCCTGTATCTGTCGGCAGTTCTGGAATCCCGAAGCGTCGATGCGGAGGACGTCTCGATCGGGAATCTCGTTTGTGAATGACGTGGGGGGATGTCTCATGCTGGAACCCGTTCCTTATGTGGCCGTCGAATCGTGTTAAAAATCCGAATGGGTCAATCAAATGCGGTAATGTCGGTTCTTGGGCTCCCAGCGCGGATCTGCCCCAAATCCAAAACGGGAGCCTCGTTTGGGATTGAAGTGTGAAGATGTCTCAGGCTGGTGCCCCTCCCTGTCGGGGCTACCAGGTCATGTCAGTAATCCGAACGGGACATCCAAATCATATAAATGTCGTCGCGTCTGGGCTACCGAAGCGTGGCTGTGGGGAAAGTCTCGAGCGGGAGCCTCGCCTGTGCGTGAGTTGTGAGGATGTCTAAGGCGGGAGCCGCTTTCCTATGGGACCGCCAGATCATGTTAGCAATCCGGCTGGGTCATCCAGACATTGTAACAAATGCCATTTTTGGGCTCTGAAGCGTGTGTTCGGAAAACATTTCGGGCGGGAGCGTCGTCTCAGAGTGAATGGTGAAGAAACCTTGACCGGGAACCCTCTTCCCTTTGGTGTCCGCAAGTCGGCTGCGACACGAATAATGCGCGCCAGGCGAACTCTCTCGCCCCCGTTTCCTACCGCGGGGGATCTGGATGCAGGCGCACGGCAATAAGGAGCTCCCGAATTACTAGGAAATCGCCGACTTGGTGCTACAGGGTGCTGGATGCATAGATGACGACGTCCTGGCGGAAGTGCGGGTGCGGAGCTAGCTCAGGTCCAAGCCCAACGAGCAAGAGATCACGTGGCAAAGCTCGGGGCCGCGCGCCGTGCGTCGCTCGTGGTTCGCCCTGGCGCACGCGTCCTGCTTCGTCTCCAGGCTCTCGCAAAGTCAGACGCTGCGCAAGGGCGTCACCATCGATTGTGCCAGGGACGACGACGCTGGCCGCGCGCATCGCTGGACGAACGCTGGTGGCTGCACCTCTACCTCACGTTCCCCGTGCCAGATGCATGCGGCACATGCTGATCCTGCGGCCGGCCTCGCGCGAGTTTCTGGAGCGTGGGCCGCCGGCGTCCTTGCGGAAGGCGCTCGGGGAGTTCGACAAGGGAGCGGCGAGCTCCAGGGCTGAGGCCGAGCAGCTCGCCGCAAAGCTTGGCTTCGCACTGCCTCCCGCCTGAGCGCGGTCGCGCCCCGCTCGAAGTCCGCGGGGTTGTCCCAACGGCTTCGTCTTGCGCGCCCACGGCCCGCGGGTTTGCTTGCCCCAGCGGCGTGGCTCGCGAGGTTGCCCCAACGGCTTCGCGATCTGGCCATCGGAAATCGCGCCCCTGCCCACCGAAGCGACGACGGCGCCACGGAAAGTCGATGTGCGCGCCACTGCAATAGTAGTGGGGGGGGGTGGCGGGGGGGGGAAGAGAGGCAGGAAGACGAGGAGAAAGCAAAGCAGGGGGCTGGAGGAGGGCCTGCGCCAGGGGGGAACAGATATTGGCGCAGAGTAGACAGGAAGATAATCTCTGCAATGACAAGAAAGACGATTAAGCTTACTTCCAGACTCACCGAGAAAATTAGCACTTGGGTTCCTACCGTCGGAATAATTACGATCGGAATGTTTTCGGCGTTTCCAAATGGTGCTCATGCTGCAATGTGGGCCTCATTTGCGGATCAGCGCTTTGCCCCCGTTATTCGGAATGGCGCTCTCGCCCCAACTTGTGCCACTTTCTTGGATCCGAGTCCTTCCTCCATGTCGTCGCCCCACTCCTTTCACCTCCTCCACTTTCACTTGGTCCTCCTGCTCCTCTGGCTCCTTCCTCGCCAGTTCCCACTGGTGCTGGTCGATTGCCCTCCTCCTCCTCCTCCTCCTTCCTCATCCTCCCTCTTTTCCTCCTGCTCAGCTCCTCCGCCTTCCCCTGGTCCTGCTGCTGCCCCCGCTCCTTCCACTCCATTTCTTGCTGCTGCTGTTCGCTCATCCTCCTCCCTATTCATCCTCCTCCTTTCCCTCCTGCTCATCATCCTGCTCACCCGCCACCTCTTCCTCCTATGTGCGCAGCTTCGCTTTTCTGACTGCGCATGACACGATGGGATCTTCTTTCGAGTGCCAGGCGGGCTATGACACGCATCCGCGGATAGAGAATACATCAGCGCAGTAGAACGGATGGGAAGGAGGGGTAGGACAGTAGGTATGGCGCGAGCGCACCTTGCTTGCCCTTCCCCACTCTCTCTGGCCACCCTCCTCTTCTTACCGTTTCCCTTCGGTGTGACATATGGTGGTGACACTCCCCTAAGGCGCGGGCGCAGCCGTCACCAAGGGTGCGGCTCATCCCGAGCCCTGGCTTCATGCAATTCGGTCCGTCCCAGACCTGGCGTTCCCGAAACTTCTACACTCAACCAAAAGCATCTCTCTTCTTAAACATCAAACCGCCAACAAAGAGTATGGTATGACACCGGAAAAAGTGGGGCAAACGTGAACCATTCCCGCTACGTGGGTAATCTGTTCCAGAGCCATGCGCCAATCAGTCTCATTCAGCTTGCGAACTATGAGTAAGTCAGTGGCGCGCGACTGCGCGTAAGCGAAATGAGAGGACCACGACGGATGGGTCAGAAATTTCCCACAATATCAAAACAACTTGTAAGCACACTTTGACTACACATGGTTGAGCTGTTCAGTGCCCTTTCACGACAGAACATCTATACTGTCATGTGCCAGAAGTGTCATGCGCACGTATGCGCGCCATATTTGCGTGTCTGGCTGCCCGTCTGTGTATGCATGAGCGAACGAACCATGCATATCCGTTCTGGGTCCGAGTGTAGTGACCTGAGGCTTTGACCATACTGATTACAGCTGAGCGGGGCACTGCGAGTCGCTAGATCATGGTGGGAGACGGGGTAGGGGAGAATGGGCAAGAACAGGCGAGATAATTGGAACCATAACTGGGAGGAGCAGCTGGAAAATGGAGTTGGATCGGCGTAGGCTTTGCGCTTCATGTTGAACATTATCTAGCAGTGCGGTGCGCACAGACTTTGTCCGCACTCTGATCTTCGCCCCATCGGGTTCACATTCGAAACCCCACGGGGTGAACAAGGAAGTCTGGTGCCGAAGACGGACAGCTCATTGCTTCACCATTGGAACGAATTTGGCAAATATGAGCAACGACAACATCTAGACGGCCTGAACATGGCCCTCGCCCGGTCGATGATGAGCCGAGGACGACCACAACACCCCCCCAAAATGGTCCCAACGCTGCCCAAGACGGCCGAGGTCCCCAGTGGAGTCCTCACCCCCCCTAGAGGGGCCCATGCTGCTCCTTAGAGGCCCCTCGCAAGCTCATTAATAACCTTCGCTTTCTTCCTTCTAGAGACGCCTGTCTGGACGTGGAAGTCTTTTCTCAGGATGGTTCTACGCGGGTTGTAAACAGCCCCCAAACCATGTCCAGAGTATCGGCGTCGGGGTATCACCCAAGTGGGCTCATGAGGTTCGTCTTGGGTGCGTGGGCACGCAGGCCTCCAAAGGCCTCTCTCAAAGCCCTGGATGTGCCTGCAGGGACTTCTACCAGGGCTCCGGCAGGCAGTCCGCAGCATGGCATCACAGCGTGGCATAGCGTACGAGGTCGTTGCTTCGCGGTACCATATAATGTAGGACGTCGCGTCATGTCGTAGATAAGAGAGCGTGCCGAACGGTACGGTGCGGAAGAATCACCCCAACGTAGCATACCACACTGTTGCATATGATAGCACGTCATCAGGTCGGCCACAGTGCCGTCGGCACTGAGTGAAGTGTCCTTAGGCCCCTTCGGATTCTGTGTGTTGCGTTCTGTAGATGCACTCCTGGGCGCTCTTAGCCATGCCCGCGTGCGTTTTCCCGAATCCAAACATCATTCAATAATCTTGAATCTTTAGGGCCCCGCAGAGGGGACCCAGAACTGGCCCCACGAGCTTTCTTGTCAAGATGACCACGACGCATCCAAGAGGCCTCCGACCCACAACCCAAGGACGTTGGCGGAATGGGCCGAAGGCCATTAGATCCGCCGCCCCCTTTTGGCTTGTCACACGGGTGCATGGCGTGCCAGATATTATATAGTTTTTGTAAATGTTTAATTTTCTGAGGGGCGCTCGGCCCAACCAGCCAGCCACCTGGAAGGATGCAGAAGGACGCAGGACAACCTCTTCTTCGTCCAGACAAGATCGCCCCACGACGGCCAAGATGGCCGCCAAGACGCCTCCTAGGTGGCCAAGATGGCCCCCAAGACGGTCCCAAACTGTCTCCTTGACGGGCTGAGATGGCCCCAAGATGGCCTCAACATCGCCCAAGACGGCCAATGATGCCTTCAACACGGTCCAAGAGGCCTAGGACCTCCAGGAAGGCCAAACTGTGTCAAACTCATTTTTTCTTTCGGTGTATGACAGATTCTAGCGTTTGCTACTTTTCGGCTTTCCGACGGCCCAAGACGGCCCCAGAAGGCCACCATGATGGCCCCAAGAATGCCCAAGAGGCTTCCGAGGTGGCCTCCTGACGGCCCAAGATGCCCCCAAGACGGCCCCAAGAGGGCCCGCCTCAAGATGGCCCATGAGCGTCCAAAACGCCCCAAATGGTCCCCTAAGACGGCCCTGAAGCGCCCCAAGAGGGCCCCAAGTCGGCCCAGAGAAGCCCCAAGACGGCTTCCGACGGTGTTAGAAGGGCCAGGAACGCCATCAAATGGCCAAGCAGCCTCCCAAGGAGCCCCCAAAGGCACCCGAGATGCCGAAGGAAGCCCCCAAGAGGCATCCAAGAGGCCCCCATGAAGCCCCCCAAAAGGCCACAAGAGTGCCCAAGAGGCTCCCAAGAGGTCTCCTCCTTCTCCTTCTCCTCCTCCTCCTCCTCCTCCTCCTCTTTTCTCCTCCCTCTCCTCCTCTTCTTTCTCCCCCATGTGTTCCCCGACGGGTTTCCACCACGGCTGGGGGAACACGTAGTCCGATAGCGTGGCCGAGCTACGGCCGCAACGTTCGGCCACATAGCCTCTTCCAAAAGGCAGGGGGCAGTGGTGATTCGCCGTAGGCGTCTTCGACCCGCCGACCCCTGAGGCTTGCTACAATTGTGCACGGCGTACTAGACGTTGGGTTGTTTGGGTCTCGTCCCAACCCGCTAGCTTTGCGGAAAACCTCTGGGTCGTGGGCCTTCCCGCTCAGGACGGCCCCTTGATGGGCTCCAAGACGGCCAACATGCCCCCCAAGACGGCTCAAATGGCACAAAAAGAACCCAAGATGGCCCCAAGATGTCTCCAAGACGGCTCAGCATGCACCCAAGACTGCCCAAGATGGCCCAAACCGGCCCAAGTGGCCCCCAAGGCGCCCCAAGAGGGCTCCAAGAGGACCTCCAGGAGGGTAAACATTATTAACACTCCTTCGGTTTTTCAATGGTTTTAGCGTTCTCGCCTTTATGGGTTTCCGACGATCCAAGACGACCCCAGAAGCTCCGACGAAGCACGCAAATCGGCCCAAGGGGGTCCCAGGCTGGCCCAAGAGGCCACAAGACGGCACCAGAGACCCTACAGCGCTCAAAGAAGGACCCACGACTGCCTGCCCAGAGGGCCCAAATACGGCCTCCGAAGGCCAAGAGGTCTCTTAGAGCCCCCCCCAGGAGGCCCCCAAGAGGCCCCTCAGAGGCCCCCAAGGGGCTTCTTCTTCTTCTTCATCATTCTCCTCCTCCTCCTCCTCCTCGTCCTCTTTCTCCTCCCTCTCCTTCTCCTTTCTCTTCCAGTCCCGAATGTTCCCCCCCAAAGGGTTCCACAACGGCTGGGGGGAATACGTAGTCCAATAGCTTGGCCAGACTTCGGCCCAACGTTTGGCCGCATAGGGGCTGAGATGTCCCAAGCTGCCCCCAAGACGGCCCAAGACGACTTCAAGATGCCCCCCCAGACGGCCCAAGAGGCACCCAGGACGCATCAAGACGGCTACATGAGGACCTCCAGGATGCCCAAGTCATTCATTTGCCAGAACGGTTTTCAATCATTTTCGAGTTCTCGTCATTTCTGCCTTCCGACAGCCGAAGACGGCTCCAGAGGCATCCAATATAGCCCCAAGACGGCCCCAAAGCCCCCAAGAGAACCCCAGAGTCCCCAAGAGGACCCCAAGACGGGCCAAGAGCGCCCCAAGACCGCCCAAGATGCTTCCTTCTCGACCACCAGGGTGCCCTCCTTCCCTCCTAGATGGCCCTACAGCGCCCAAAGAAAGCCCCACGACGGCCCCCCAAAGGCCCCAAGACAGCCTCCGAATGCCATGAGGCACCTTAGGGCCCTCGGAGGCTCCCGAGAGGCCCCCAAGGGGCACCAGGAGGCTATCAAGAGGCTTCCAGGGAGCCACCTCCTCCTCCTTAGCCTTCCTTCCACAAGTGCGCCCCCAAGGGTTTCCACAACGGCTGGGGGAGCACATGGTCCAACAGCTTGGCCAAGCTTTAGCCCAGAGTTTGACCACATCGACATTACCAGAAAAGGCAGGAGGCGGCGGTGGTTCGCCGTAAGCGTCTTCGATACCATCCCATAGCACAACACAGCCTCGCACAACCAATGTGTACCTACCTTTGGTTGCCCTGCTTGCATCTGGCGCGCCCTGCAATTTCTCACGTGTAAGGGCAATGGCAGAACTATGGCCAGGAACATTTCTGACACTGCGTCTGATTCGATGGAGCATGACACGTCGGAGCCAGGGCAACTCCCAAGAAAGAATTGTGACGTGGCTTCCAAGACGAAACAACAAGACACATCCATTGATTCCCACGACGGACATGGACACGTAACAGCCGGCATGGTAACAATTCGATGTTAGCAAGCGTTGACCCCAAACAGTGTGCTTCTAGAACATAGATGTTGCAATCCATGTGGGGCAATCTATGTTATGCAACCTATGTTGTGCAGCACACGTGGTACGAGCTATGAGTTGCAACGCATGTGGTGCAGTATAAGTGGGACAATCTATGTGGCGCAGTCTATGTGGTACACTATGTCTTGTGCACTCGATGGTGTGCACTCTATGTTGTGCAGCCTATGTGATGCAACATCTATGATGCAATCCAATGTGGTACGATACAGGTTGAGCAATCTATGTTGTGCAATCCATGCTATGCAACCTATGTGGTGCAATCTATGCTGCGCTGTCCATGTTCTGCGATCGAGGTGGAACACTATGTGTGGTTCAATCTAGGTTGTGCAATCTAGGTTGTGCTTTACACGTGGTGCAATCTATGAGGTGCAATTAATTTCTGTTCGCAGTGAATTGTCCACTCCACTGCTCGCGCAAACATCCCACCCATCCACCCGCAACTTGGTTTGCAAAATCTCTTAAGACCGTGACGAAGGGTACCACATGGCACTTGGCAACAACAGCGACGCCGACGACGACAGCGACAACGACGATGACGACGCCGCCGACAACGACTACGACGACACCGACGACGTCTCCAACGACTTCGACGACGCCGACAACGACGACGACGACGACGACGACGACGACGACGACGACACCGACGCCGACGACGATGACAACGACGACGACGATGACGACGCCGACGACGACGATAACGACGACACCGACGACGACGACGACGTCAACGACGCCGACGACGACGACGACGACGACGCGGCGACGACGACGACGCCGACGTCGACGACGACGAAGACGACAACGACGCCGACGCCGACGACGACGACGAAGACGACGACGACGTCGCCAACGAAGACAACGAGGAAGGAGGGAGGACGACGACGGCGACAACGACGACAACGACGAGGGAGGAGGGAGGACGGCGACGACGCGAACGACGAAGAAGGAGGAAGGACGGCGACGCCGACGACGGCAACGACGAGGGAGGAGGGAAGACGACGACGACGACAACGACGACGACGACGACGACGCGACGAAATAGGAGGGACGACGACGAGACGCCGACGACGGACGACGACGACGACGACGAGGGAGGAGGGGGAAGGACGACCACGGCGACGACGACGACGGAAACGACCACGACGCCAAAGAGGACGACGACGATGAACACGAGGAAAGACAGAGGACGACGCAGGCGACGACGACGACGACAACGACGCGGGAGGAGGGAGGACGGCGACGACGACGACGACGACGACGATGACGCAAGAGCGCGCGCGCACGCTTTTGTTGAAAATCCGTGTTGCGAAACCTTGTGTTTTTGTAGGGTTTTTGGACACACGATTTTGAAATCCTTCCGAAACCAATGGGTTTTGAAGGTTTTCGGCATACGCGCGCGACGACGCGCGCGTCTGCACTTCGTCACATTTTTTGCAGGGGATTCTCGCGACGGCACACGCGCAAGGGCGTTCGACAGATTTCGACATGAGCGCGCGCGAAGCCCGTTTGGTAGCATTTTGTGAAAATCTTGAAAAACCTATGGTTTCCTTAAGATTTCGCAAGAGCTTTCGCGGAAGCTTTTTTAGCAACTCTGTGTTGCGAAACCCTGTGTTTTTGTATGTTTTTTGGAAACTCGATTGCGAAATCCTTCCCGCACCGAAGGTTTTTGAAGGATTTCGGCATGCGCGCGCGACGACGCGCGCGTGTGCACTTCGTCTCATTTTTTGCAAGGGGTTCGTGACAAAAGTGTTATGTTAGAACAAAACATGTCACCGCATATGGTTTTTTACAAAGGAACCTCAGGGGGGAACCCGGCATGGCTGGGATAGTATGAGTTCATATTTAGGATGGACGAGTGTGCAGAATACACACATATATATGTATATCATAGAATCCCAGGGGGAGGCGATAAGTCCGCGGGGGGAGGGGGGTATAATCTATTAGTCTTTTAGGAAGGAGAATGCAGGTTGTGCAACATGTCTTGTGTGTGTATGTATGTATGTATGTATGTATGTATGTATGTATGTATGTATGTATGTATGTATGTATGTATATAGATGTATAAAAACGGAGCAATATCTGTGATGCAGTGTATGTGGGGCAACCTATGCGGTGCAATATGCTGTGCAACCTATGCTGTGCAATCTATGCGGTGCACGTGGTGCAATATATGTGGACCAATGTAGGTTGTGCGATCTATGTGGTGCGCATCATACGTGGTGCAATCTACGTGCTGAAATCTATATTGTGCAATCCAGGTTGGTGCAATCAAGGTTGTGCAATATATGTTGGGTGGGATGGGGCGGCGACGGAAGCAACACGCGCGGCGACGAGGCGGCGATGGGGCGGCGACGGCGGCCACATATAGCCGCCAGATCGAAGACACGGCCCAGACTGCGGGCGGCGACGAGGCGACGGCGGCCACATAGCCGCTAGACCGAAGACACGGCCTAGTTCCTCAGAGCAGAAGTAAGCACTCCTAAGTGTAAGCGCTGATTGGGGAATGTGTGAATAATTTGTCAGCCCCCCCCTCCCACACTTTCATCCCCTTTGCGCGGTGTCGCAGTCGACCCTGAAAATCAAGAGAAGGCTGCTGGCCTGGGGGCCTGCAAGCACTCAGGGCCGAGAAAGCCGATGAAGCGCGCATGCCATGACTGACAAAGAGAGCACACAGACGCAGGTGCGACCCGAGCTGGGCCCACTTCGTTGCCCTCCTCGTCGAGGGCCCTCTGAACGTGTCCTTGTCTTCACAGAATGGCTGTGGCCAGGGCCGAGGTGGACATTCTTTGAGCGAGACTGGACGGCATGCACCCTGGCACCAGAAAGGCGGCGATGAAGAGCACGTCGAACAGGCGGCACCGTGGCATGGCTGGCCACGCCGTTAGGTGAGCTCGCGTAAGCGGGAACATGACTTGCTATCTCCAACGAAATTCATCACCCAATGGCTTCACGACGTCAGACAGAAAGCCACTGGACAAGCCTGGAATGTCGCACGAGACTTTGGCAAGAGCGCACGCGCGAAAGGAGGAAGGAGAACTTGTAGAGAAGACAGCGGACGACAAGCATGAGACAGCAGAAACACAGAACAGCAGTAGACACGAGAAACACAGTCCGCCGACCCCCGCTTGCCGAGGGGGAGAAGGCGTGTGAGATGATTGGCTGTCCCCCTCCCTCTCTCCTCCTCCCCTGGGGCATCAAAGCGCAGTAGAAGGGGGGGGGGGGGGGGGGGGGGGGGGGGGGGAGGGACGAGATGGGGGGGGTGGTCGAGCTCGCCAACGCACCCGGGGGGCTTTCCGGAGCCTCCAGAGAGCCTCAAGACGGCCCAATGAGCGCCGAGGCAATCCAAGAAAGCGTCGAGACGGCCCAGGGTGACCACGAGACGGTCCAAGATGGCTTCAAGACGGCCTACGAGGCCCCCAAGACGGCCCAAGAGTGCTCCCAGAGGGCCGTCGAGAGGGCCCCGAGAGAAACAAATCGCCCCTTTCCGTTGGGAAGACGTGCATCTTCGACGCACGCATGCCTTTCTCGTCTTGGCAGCAGTGTCACTCAGCCTGTGTCAACCTCGTGTCATCCTGAGCGACGACCCATCTGGAACTGCCGCGCACTCGAATCATCCCTATCGGTTGGCCACATATTCGGCTGGCAAAGCACCCGACAAAAGGCTGTTCGAACCTCCATCCCGACCGGGAAGGGTAACATGGAGGGAAGGATAGACGAAAGAGGAATGGGGAGGAGAACGAGGATCAGCAGGCGGGGAAAGGCAGAGGAGGGATCAAGAGAGCGAGGAGGAGGAGGAGGAGGAGGAGGAGGAGGAGGAGGAGGACGATGAACGGGAGGACAGGAAGAAGAGCTGCTCTCACCAGAACCACATGAGCGCCACTCGGAACTTGATAGTAATAAACATAACACACCATCCACACCAAAGCGCTGCGACGACTGCAACAGCAAGAACGCTGGTCCTCCAGACATGCGTATTCTGTCGAGCTCCTGGGGATACGCGTGCTGTTCTCGCTCTCTCTCTCTCTGTGTCTCCCTCTCCACCTACGAAAGAATACTGCAACAACCGTGGTGAACGTAGTGGTGTCGGCCTCATGCACAGAGCTGGCACAAGAAAGAGAGCTTATGTCGATGTAAATTCGGATTGTAATTTCGGTGCGAACAGCAAGCGATTGACGATGTCAATTGGGGTCACGGGTGGCGGCGTGCAGTCAATAAACGCCCACGGTGTGCGAGAAGCGAACCACTGGGCGAACAAATTATGACGACTATGGATTCAGAGACTGAGTCCAAGAATCTCAGAGCCCCGAGAAGCCCCGGCGAAGACCGCACGACTCGCCAGCGGCAGTCCACGAGAGCATCAGGCCCGAAACAAACTTCTGCCGATGACGACCCCCTGCCAAGACGTGCTGCCGGAAAACGGTATGCGTTCTGGAACTGCTGCATCGCGTGTCGCGGCAGCGGCCCCGGCGACACGCTATGCCGTATGCCGTGCAAGCGGGCAGCGTGTCGCTCCGCTTCGCGGGGCGGGAGGCCAGGAGGAGCTCTGGACGTTGATGCCCGGGGGCTGGGACGTGGTCAGCGCGTCGCGCCGCAGCGTGGTGGGCCAGATCCGGCGGAGAGACGCGCTCAGCCGAGGGCTCCTGACCGGCGCGCCGAGGGGCGAGGTGAGAGGGGGCCGGCCTTCTCAGGAGGCGGCGGGGCTCTTCAGAAGCCCTCTGGCCTTCTGGGAAGCCTCCGTGGCTGCGGAGGAGGCTCAGGAAGCCTCTCGGAAGGCCGCACGCCTTCTGAGCCCTCTTGGAGTGCCCGATTCCCTCTGCCTTTACTCCCTGGGCGCGCCCACGACAAACGAGTGTTGAACGGTTTTGCTGCCCCACATCTCCTCTTCGTCATCTGGCTTCTGGTCCTGCGTCAACGCGATCGCCTGGCCGAGGGGGTACACGTTCATGTGAGAGAGCAAACGCAAATTGATGGGTTCATGAATGGCCAATGAACATCTGATGTAGGAACGCGCTGGGTCTTATAGCATTAAAAATCGCACCAACAGACACTCACTAGGCCCCCAAGAGGGGCCTAAGAGAGGCCCAAGAGCGGGAACCGGCAGGGACCCTGGGAGCCCTCCACCCCGCCCCAAGATGGCCCAAATATCCCCAACCTGACCGCAAGGTTCCTAAGAATCAGCTCCCAGACGACCCCCAAATCCCCAGGGGGCCTTGAAAAGCTCAAAGAGGCCGCCCCCTGGGCCTCCAAGAGGCCCCCCAATAAGCCCCGCAACAGATGTGGAGGAAAAGAAAAACAAATCAGCAACGACTATACGCATGCAACATGACGGGAAGTGGCAAGCACACGCACAACATCGGAAACCGCACATATCCTTTTTCGGGAGTCGGCCGAATGGTGTAAGTAACTTGAGTCAAATCTCAATTCCGCCGACACTGTCGGCATGTGTGAGACGTTTTTCCGTTTGAGTTGCCGTCGTCATTACCCCCCTTTCCCTGGGAGATCATTCTCGAGCGACCCAGCCAAATGAAACTCGAAGAACGTCGTAATCGAGTCAACGGCAAACCTCTTCCCTTTGATCCCTTCCACGCGCCTGGGGGAGGGGGGAGGGGGGCGGGGGATCCCGGGGGGTCTGACTCCTCTCCCCCCTGGGGGTCCCGGGGGTCGTGGCCCCCCTTCCCCTCTCCGACCAAGACGGTCCAAGAGAGCCCACAAAGCCGCAAGAAGGGGAACACCAATCGAGTCGAAGGGAAAGCCCTTGATACCTTCCTCGCTGGGGGGGGAGCTTGGGGGTGCGGTCCAGGGAGGGGATCCGGAGGCAAGCAGGGCCCACAACGGTCCCCACGAGGGCTGGCGAGCGTCGTCGTCGTCGTCGCCGCCGCCGCCGCCGCCGCCGTCGTCGTCCCCCTTCAGGGTCGTCGGCACCGGCCGTAAGGCCCTCGCAATGAAACTGAAATGACGCTCTGCATGACGAGTGGGATCATCATTGAGTCGGAGAAGAAGAGGACACTTACTGACACCCTAAAAACAATGCAAATTCATATTCAGCAGGGCGCGGAAACACGCTGAAAACACATAGCTTGGCTTGCCTTCAACAACAACAACAACAACAACAACATCTCACACATCGGCTGATCAACATCGGACGCTGTAGAACAAAACAAATGTTCTCAACACTTTCTGACTTGTAACCACTGGGTTACCCTGCAGCATATTTGCCTAGCTACCGAGGACGCGCTCGGGGTCGCAGAGATCTTCGCGAGTTATTATGTTGTGACTCTTTCTGGGGTTGGACGTCACGGAATGAAGCAAGAATGGGCAATGCATTTTGCGTAGGAAAACGCTGAAGGCGTATAATTTCACCCCTCACCGTGCACCACATACCATCACACAGAACGAACTCCCAGAATTAACAAAAAACGCTACGGGACGACCTTCGAGCCGACACAAGCGTCCTCAAATTCCCCCTACCCCCACCTGCAAAGAACGCAACTCCTCCTGCCTCCAGAGCCCACCAGTACGCCCAAAATTGCCCCCAACCCCAAACCGCCCAGTGACGAAGACCTGGATTCTCGATCGCAGATTGACTTGCACAAGCCCGTTGCAGATCTACCATTTGTCAAATCTCCAGGGAGGCACCCGCTGGGACAGCCACAACGTATTCGTTGCGCTGCGCAAGCAGCAAAAGCCACGCTGCGTGGGCGGAGCCGCAGGGGGGCACAACGCCTGAAACCGAGGCGTCTTCGCGTCAGGAATCTCCCGCCTCAGGTCGCGCGCGGGTGCAAAGGCAGAGAGGCAGAAGGCCCGCGTGCGCGTCGCGCGCCAGGGAAGGAATGTGGGGAGTGGGCTCCAGCGCCGACCCAACAAATCCACGCGAACCTTTCAACATTCATGTTTAGATATTTCTTGGGGGCCTTCTAAAAAAGGTCGGCCGCGGCTCTTGGTGAGACAAAACCTGGACGAGAGACTCGGAGGGAGCATGGGAAGCCTGAGGTCCCAGGGCCGGTTGGGATGATTCGCTGAGCAGTCGCGGACAGCCTAGGCTGCCTTCATGTGATGAGCAAAGCGAATGCACGCCCCCATTTTCATTGCGGGGAGGTTACCCTCTGACGGCACGGCTCTTGGGTGGGGCTGCAGTTTGAAGAGCCCTGCGGCTGGGCTTGGTTGGTCCCCCTGCGATTGGGGAAGAGGAGAACCAGGAGGAGCAATGGGTCTTCTTATGCGCCGTGCGCACGTGGGACTGGGATGTCTGAGCTGGCCATGGGGTTCGATGGCTGGCGAGTACGAGGCCCTGCGATGCACCTGCAACATGATAGGTGTCTTCGGATAACTGTCTCTGGTAGAGGGAGAGAGCAAAGAGCGTAACAATGACAACTAGAGAAATCACGCTACCGAGGAACCCCACATACTTATAATATGTTTGGCAAGATGACGCTCGACGTGAAACTTGCGAGAAAAATGCACGTGGCCGTGGCTTCGCCGATCCCGTTGGTGCCGCCTGTCAAGCCTTGGGAGCCTGAGTACCCTGAGGGGGTCCATCGTCCCTGGGAGACCGACCCCACTGCGCACCGTTAGGGTGTCGAGAACATGCCACGCCTGCTGTGCCCTGGACGACAAGCGCGCATAGCGGCCGCGGTGAGAGACCACCCCCTGCACACCCTCTATGGTGTCGAGAAAGTGCCCCGCCTGCTATGACCTGGACGACCGGCGCGCATAGCGGCCGCGGTGAGAAACCACTCCCTGCGCACCCCCTGTGGTGTCGAGAAAGTGCCACGCCCCCTGTGCCTGGACGACCGTCGAGCATAGCGGCCGCGGTGAGAGACCACCCCCTACGCATTCCCTACGGTGTCGAGACTATGCCACGCCTGCTATGCCCTGGACGACCGTGACGGATAGGGGGTAGCGCTGAGGGACCACCTCTTGCGCAACCCCTATGGTGTCGAGAATATGCCACGCCTGCTATGCCCTGGACGACCGTGACGGATAGCGGCCGCGCTGAGGGACCACCTCTTGCGCAACCCCTATGGTGTCGAGAATATGCCACGCCTGCTATGCCCTGGACGACCGTGACGGATAGCGGCCGCGCTGAGGGACCACCTCCTGCGCACCCCCTATGGTGTCGAGAATATGACACGCCTGCTATGCCATGGACGACCGTGACGGATAGCGGCCGCGCTGAGGGACCACCCCCTGAGGACCCCCCATGGTGTCGAGAAAATGCCACGCCTGCTGTGACCTGGACGACCGTGACGGATAGCGGCAGCGCTGAGGGACCACCCCCTGCGCACCCCCTCATGGTGTCGAGAATATGCCACGCCTGCTATGCCTTGGACGACCGTGGCGGATAGCGGCCGCGCTGAGGGACCACCTCCTGCGCACCCCCTATGGTGTCACGCCTGCTATGACCTGGACGACCGCGACGGAAAGCGGCTGCGGTGAGAAACGACCCTTTGCGCACCCTTTATGGTGTCGAGAATCTGCCACGCTTGCTGTGCCTGAGACGACCGTGACGGATAGCGGCCGCACTGAGGGACCACCCCCTGCGCACCCCCTATGGTGTCGAGAATATGCCACGCCTGCCATGCCTTGGACAACCGTGACGGATAGCGGCCGCGCTGAGGGACCACCCCCTGCGCACCCCCTATGGTGTCGAGAATATGCCACGCCTGCTACGCCCTGGACGACCGTGACGGATAGCAACCGCGCTGAGGGACCACACCCTGCGCACCCCCTCATGGTGTCGAGAATATGCCACGCATGCTGTGCCTGAGACGACCGCGACGGATAGCGGCCGCGCTGAGGGACCACCTCCTGCGCACCCCCTATGGTGTCGAGAATATGCTGCGTCTGCTATGCCATGGACAACCGTAATGGATAACGGCCGCGCTGAAGGACACCCCCCTGCGCACCCCCCATGGTGTCGAGAAAATGCCACGCCTGCTGTGACCTGGACGACCGTGACTGATAGCGGCCGCGCTGAGGGACCACCCCTGCGCACCCCCTATGGTGTCGAGGATATGCCACGCCTGCTATGCCTTGGACGACCGTGACAGATAGCGGCCGCGCTGAGGGACCATCCCCTGCGCACCCCCTATGGTGTCACGCCTGCTATGCCCTGGACGGGAAGCGCGCATAGCGGCCGCGCTGTATCTGGATGTGTTTATAATGTATGTAGCGCGTACGTCGTGGGTTTATGATGCAGTGAACACGCCAGGCGTGCACTGGCGAGGGAGACGGAGAAGCAAAAAGGTGGGGAGGAGGAGAAGAGGAGAAAGAACGCGGGTGCGACGCGGCAGGGAAGCAAACCAAAACCCCATCAAAGATGTGGGGAACAAAACCTTTCCGCCAGCCTGCCAGCTGCGACAGAAATCCGGAGCATGATGATTAGAAACGAGGCGTGGAACCTCCAAGTCTGAGCCAGGCATTCTTTACAAGTAAGTTAGCTGCCCCAATGATGCACGTAACTGCCCCAAGGGGTGGAAGGAGAGGCGGAATAACTGGAGCAGGAGGACCTTGATGAGACCTCGCATTCCTTACACTGGACTTTCAAGAGCTCGCTCGACTACCCGCCGCCCCCCCAAATGCAGTACATCCTTTTCTCCCAAAGCCATCGTCGAAATCAGCATCTTCAACATCACATTCACCTCTTTAATCAATCATGTTCCCATGTGGCTATCGCTGCAGCTGCCAGAACTTTGGATACTGGCTGTACCCCGAACCCGCCCGACTAATGATCAGGCTCGACCGCTGGGCGATGGACCTGCGCACGTCTAAACAAGCATTCGCGAACATGACACTCTTGGGGTACGCACCCGTGGTATGCCCGTGTGTCTCAGAAACTATGTAGGTCCACATCTTTCGATCATGTATATCTATAAATATGGTAAGGGCATTTTTTAACTCTTCGAGCGGGCGCGAACGCCCGCGTGGTCATGCCACGAATTCACGGGCGCTGCCGCGCGCCCGCGCGAACGGCGCGGGGCGGCGGCGGGCCCCGCGGCGGCCGAGGAGGGGGCGCTCACCTGCGCGAGCCTCTCGTCCTCGCCGCGCGCGGGGCCGCAGCGCCGAGCGCCCGCGCGCGGTCCCGCTCCCCGCGCGCCTGGGCTGCGGTAAAGAACCAGTGAATAAGGAATCCAGGGACTGGAAGCCAGTGGAACTCCTATCAAATATTGGCCATGGATATCATTGCCGCCTTCAACAAATGAGGAATCTCCGCAAGAGGCGCCCAGGAGGCCCCCAAGAGGCCCCCGCGACGCCATCTAAGAGGCCTCAGACCCACAACCCACGGTGGCAAGATGGTCCGAACACCGTTATATATACACATATTCATGTATATATATATATATATATATATATATGTGTGCATGTGTATGTTCACACACACATAATACATCTTTCCACACATACATTCGCACATGCAACAACAACGAATGCTGGAAATCAGTCCGACCGATCACCTGTAAACGCGTCACGTCTATTTGGTTTATTGGTCAGCCGACCGATAAATCGAAACGCCGAATCTCTTCGGTTCACCGTTGGTCAACCGATCAAGCGATATGTTGTTCGCGCGCGTGGAGGCGCTTGTCGACGCACCCGCTCTGTCAATCGGTTTTCTGGCTATCGGTTTGCCTATTGACTGGCTGATTCACAACAGCTTGGCGAAACAATTGCAGACCGATTATTTTGCCGCGTATGGATTCACTGATTTACGTCAGATTTTTCGGGGTGTCGACGACGCGTGCGATGGGGGTAGCAAGGAGGGCGACAAAGGGGGTGGTCATGGAAGAGGAGGAGGTGGGCACCGACGGGGGGGGTCGAGGAGGTGGTCCTGGATGTTGGCGCGAGCTCCGCGGGGACGACGCCAATCGTGACGCAGGGCGCTTCCTGCGAGCCTTCCGAAGTGTCAACCCTGCACCGCCAATCCTGTCGACCTTGCTTGGGCCAGGCCCGCGAATCTCTGGATGATGCGGGGTGTACGGGCACTCTTGGGGGGCTAGGGTGGCAAACTCTAGACCCGCCGACGCCCCCTTTCCGTTCAAGTGGAGTCCCCACCCAATCGCAAGCGAATAAGGGGCGAGACGGATGACGTTCAGGGATCTGGGAGGGATGAGGAGGAAGGATACCTCGATCCATATTACTCTGACTAATCTCTGCCTGCCGACAGCGTCCCGGGCCCGGAGGGGCAGGGCGAGCTTGCCCTGCGCCGCCTTGTTGCAAACGGCCGCTTTGCCCGCTGCGGCCTGCGTCGCCCGGCCGCGACAGTGTGGGCCCGATCGACGTTTGCGGCAACGGGCGGGCGCGCGAGGGCGGAGAGAGCCCCGTGAACAAACTGGTCCGACGCCCCTGGTGGGCGGACCGCGAGGACGACGCCATCGACTCCCCAACGGGCTCGGACGCTCGGGCAAGCTCGCCGGCACCTTCCTGGTCCTCGCCGGCCAGACCATGGAGCCGCCAGCCCAGGCCGAGGAAGTAGACGAACTGAAGTGGGCATCCGTGTGCATCGTCGGACAGCGTAGCCACGGGCGACTCTGGTGCGCGAGCAAAGGTCTTGAGTCCTCCCGCGCCGGCTGTCTTGGCGGCTACGTCGCTGAGGGCGGCAGGGGCAACGGCGCGCGACAGACGCGTGCCTCCCACCAGCTCCCCACCGATCGTGACAAGCGCGCCTGCTGCGGAGGCGCCGTCTGGAGACAGACCTCGCCTCGCCTGGCAAGCGCGGGGCGACCTCTGGCTGATGGTCAGGGAGGCGTGGGCTGACTCCCCGTG